AACAAATCCAATTTCTAAGAAATTTAATTACATCAGAAGCAAACAAAATTGTATTACTTGAACAAAACACCCCAATTTCACTGATGGAGAAATTACCTGAGGTCGATTGTCGATAAATAACCCTATAACTTGTGAAGGTGATTTTCGAAAGAAGGCATTTGCCCTCACTGCACGGCCGGCGGGTCAAACTTGTTTCCACACCCGTTGTTCATCGTCGTCTATGGTGGATTTCAGCTTGCGGCGGCTTCTCGACAAGGGCTGGTTCTCGTTTTACCTTCTCGCGCGTCGTCGGATGAACTAGGGCAAAATTACAGATGTGAGATTGTTGAAGAAGGGGCCAAAAACAAATGGTACATAATGAAGGGTATACAAGTCTTTTGAATGGTTCATGGCTAGCTTAATCAATCAAAGTAAATGAGGGATACGTTTCAGCTAATCCCGTACAACAAAGTAAACATTAGACTAAATGATGACGTGGAAAGGTCACCTGATTATTTACTCTTATCCCATCCCTCGAAGTATGTGTCATGTGGCAATAAAATAGAACAATAGAATGATCATTGGAGATGCTTTCACATATAATTGGACCTCCAAAAGTCTAATCTTTATACTAGTAATTAATAAATTGAAGATTTAGTACTCTAACTAACACCCAATTGAGATTTAGTACAAATACTTTTGTAAGAAAAAATAAGCACTGAAAAAGAACTACATTGTCCTACGGTTTTATACCTGCAAAGTATCCCTATCCTCAGTGCAACAAGCTGGAAGATGAAAAATTTCTGCAGAACCCTCCCTCTTGCTGTGGGAATAATTCGACTGTTGTGAAAAAAACGGGGGGAAATGGGACTGGCATGTGACAAAATGGGTGGAATGAAAAATTGTGTTTAAGGGTTAAGTGGTATTTTCACATGCTACAATGGCTAGATTTCATCCTTTTACAAAAGGTGGCCATTTTTCATCTTTTATAAAACTAGCTTAACAACTAGTTTTACCAAACATAGTCATAAGCTATAAGCTCGAAAATTATATACACGTTATAAGTTAGCTTATCAACTACCAGCTAGTCTTACCAAACATAATCTTAGTTGTATTACCACTTTTAACCGACAATTACACCAATCAATATCAAATTATTCAATCTAAAACTCAACTCCAAGCACACCCTAAGGCACACAATATTGATGGCAATTTGTTCATAAATTTAAATGACATGGGTCACACTTGATAGTAGATAGTTATCTTTACTTCATTGTTAGATTATGATGGGTCTACTTCGAGATCTGAAGTGAATCGGTGGTAATGAATCTGCTCGAACCGTCTCCAAATCGCCTTTGAACAGCTGCAAACACCTGCAAGAACTCAACACCGGAAGTGTTCCGCTGAAGAGCCTCCGACGCTCAAGCCAGTTAGGTTTGGGATTACCTCATTCCCTTTATATAAGAATAAAACACTTACTTGAAGTACCCAAAATGCCCTGGCCGACTTACGCGTAATACCTGAAATACCCCAGTCGATTCGCCTTCCGCCCGCTTCTTGGTCAGCATCCAGATTCCTTCTTATCCTATATGGTTTCTCTTGTTTGGAGGTTTCCCTGTGTTATATCGAAGTGTATAAAAGTCTTCGGAGCTCTTGGTGCCTCGAGGTAGGATAAGTCGACTTCGAGTATCGTCGAGTCGACTTGGGTCACACACAAGCATTTGGAGATTAAGCCCCGCCCGCTCGTCTTCTTGAGGAAAGTCGACTGAAGGGAATCGTCTGGGATTCATTATCAAGTTGAAGGCAGTCCCTAGGAGGTTCATAGGAGAAGTCGACTTTGGGGGAAGACTAGCGTAGGTCGACTCATATGTCTAATATTCGGTCGGGTAGTTAGCAATTGAACCGTTATGCTACAATAATGGCTATATCAAATTATAATAGGTTGCAAACACAACCTCGATTTCCACATCGAGGGTCAAAATAATAGAGCCCCTACTATACGGAACCCAGTGCACGAAACCTTCGGTCGCCATCGGGGGACCCATCCCCATCAGGCTCTTCACCTCCACGAGTAGTCGGAGCCCGATGGTCAGTATGGAGCACTTGTAGGATCTCATGTTTCTCACGAATTTAATGTACACTTGCACCACTTTGTACTCCATGGAGGCCGCCACATACGTCAAACAAGGACCAAGAGTAAAATTTCTTCAACCGAAATAAATGCGAGGGAGGTCAAGGGACTCGGTGGTCCCGGGATTCATGATGCGGGGACTACACGGATTAAAAGGTACGTCCACCAAAACAAGGCCGTGATAGCTCGCAAGGATAATTGGGCCCGGGATGTCTCGACCCGGCCTTGACTACCTGAGATAAAAATCAAATCCTTAGGGACAGTCATATTCTGCAAGAGGAGCCGCACGATGGAGGTGCAAGCGTATGAAGTCGCGAGAGCGGGTCAAATGGGCCCACTTGCAGCAGACGAGCCTTGCCGAGTTATGGATATCACGAGAGGTGAGACGAATGAGATGTCGAATAGCAAATCTTCAGTAAGGGACTACATGTTTGGAGTACTATTGCATCTCGCCATCTGTGTAGCAAAATAAGAATTAATTTTTCGTTAGGAATCGGTATAAACCAATATATTGTTAGTACACTATTTTATTTTTTACATGGCGGATAAAAAATTTCACTTTTGATACCCAAAATATACCCCAAGGTTTCAACTTGATCCGAAAACTAATCATTTTAGTTTCAAAACCGTGAAAAACTAACAGCCGCCAGGTCCGCCACCTTCCATCGCCTGCTGCTGCGTTGGTGGCAGATTTCAACAAATCATATACCCAACAGTAATTTCACTTTCATCATACTTACCTCCAAGTTCGTCAAATTGTCATTGAAGTTCTTTAAGTTTTCGTAGCCAAAATACGACATTAAGTTTGACCGACTTCTATCGAAGATCAAAATGAGTTCGAATTTAATTGAGACTCAGAATTATCCTACACGGGATGCTTGCAAAATTCCAACAATGGTTAACACTGGAAGAAGTTGCATCTTGAGAACATCACCATTCAGTTCAGTTCACTATGGCTGGAAGAGTTGGATAAATTGGAATTTAGGAAAGAGAATTTTAAGTTTGGATTTTTATGGAAAAAATATGAACAAAAAGTCCTTTTATTCTTGAGGATTATTGTCTCTTAATTAAATTTCCAATTTTTCCTGCCTCCGCAACTTGCCGGAAAACTATATACATAGGTAGCAAAAACGAAAAACATTAAATACCAATTCCATCTATCATTCTTTTTTTAAAGAAAATCACAATCACCAATATAAAACATTAAATCCACATACGAACACTTACCTGTACCATTTTCCCTCCCCTCATCACAGACATATTTTTCTGTTCAAAAGAACCATCCTTAGCGTCATTTTCTCTCTCTAACTTATGCTCCCCAACAGAAGAAGAAGATGGTTTTGAATTTGAATTAATGCCAGCACGTGTAGTCTCGGTTCCCGGACAAGTGTCGACTCGTGAAACAGTTTTATTCAGGCCAGCATCAGAATTCATGTATTTGTCCTCATTTAGCTGCTCGGAAGTATGTATGATTATTCCATGTTCTTTCTCGACATTTTCACTATCCAGGAGACTCCAAGCATCTGTTATCTGAGAAAGATCACTTTTTTGTGAGGGCCCGCTATTCTGGTTCGTTCTTTGAAAATCAGAGCTAACCGTTGTTACATCTGGCGGCATTTTCTCATTACTCTTTTCATTCATTTCCAAATTCAAGCTTGTTTGACCTGTTGTTTGAAGCCTCCCTTTGAACTTCTTCAGACTCTTTTCATTCATTTCCAAATTCAAGCTTGTTTGACCTGTTGTTTGAAGCCTCCCTTTGAAATTCTTCAGATTTTCCAAGGCTCGTTGCCTCAAAATCGATTCAAGAACAGACTTATCGTCAACCTCTTTCCCCTTATCAGCATTATCCATATCCACGGCTTCCATCTGACGATCACCATCTTTTACACCAATCATCTTACTCGAATTACCGTGAGATTGATCACCAAGCTCCATTTTAGTTCCCTCTTCATTACTGTCTGGACTTTTGAGAGAAGGGTAATCATTTTGGTCATACACAATCTCTTCTTCGTGTGGGTTGATGGCCCAGCTGCTTTTCTCCACATCATCTTCATCATCATACCTATGATCGGCAAAAGCAATAACCGACTTCAGCCGTCTAGGATTATTAATCACCGGCGATAATGCCACATCATCATGTCTGGCACTCACACTATGTTTACTACCTCTTTCACGTTTTTCACGATTCTCGATAGAATTTCTACCTATAAACCCTTCTCTTTCTTTTTCAGTAACCATTTTACTCATTTTTGGCTCGCTATCTGCTGAACTGCTGCTGCTAGTACTCCGGCAGGTAGAGCAGCTCTCAGAAAGCTTCTTCTTCTTGCGTATTTTCTTTTTATGTTCGGTTTTCGATGTGGGTTCTGGGCTTAATGATTCATATCATCGGAGTATGAGGAATCCGAATCGTAAGCACGCTTTTGGTTCTTTCTTCGGCTCTTCTTCTGCACAAAATATTATAGTAAAACACAACTCATTCTAGCAAGTTTAAAATCAGTTGAATGCAAACCCATCAGAGCAAAATTCAATATAGTTGCAATCACTAACCAATAGAGGGAGAGGGAGGGAGGGAGAGAGAGAGAGAGAGAGAGAGAGAGAGAGAGAGAGAGTTTAAAATAACTACATTGCTCCAAGGATTCAATTATTATAACAATATACTTCCCACAAACTAGCCCAGATCGCAAAAGCCATGAAATTATTCA